GACTTTTAAATCGAAGGGCTCGACCTGGGTGGAGTCCCAAGCCGCCGCAGACGCCAGCGAACCAGGCACGGAAGGAGCGCTGGTCGGGCAGTGCCGCATGGGGGCGGGCACGGAAGAAGAGGAGGTGAAGGAGGCCTCCAAAGCTGCAACATGGGTGGCCAGGCCATGGAGCGAGACCTCAGTAGAGTCGAACTTGGCGAAGGCTCGACCTAAGTCGCTCTTGCCACCACGGGCAAGGCGAACTGCGATCCGACACAACCGTTCGATACGGGTGCGGACGCCCTCCTGGCAGGGCGAGACCGTGGCGCGGACACGAGCCTCGGCGGGAGCGAGGCTAGGATGACCCAAAGTGAGCCAGTTCAACGCAATAACAGAATACTGCGCGAGCGTCCGCGCCGCGCGCCGCAATCTCCAGCGCTCCCTGCGCCTCGCCGACAAGCCGTCAGGCGGGGGACCAAGAGGTGGAGCAGGCGGGCACGGCCAAGGATCGCGGGGAGGCGGCCCCAAAAGGTACGGGTCGTCCCTGTCCATTGCACGCATTGATGAGCGGGAGAAAGATCCAAGAGAACATCGAGCACCCATCCCAACCTGGGACAGCGCTGCCGCCCAGTGGGTGATATCAATGTTCGCGCCTGGAAACAGGCGCAGCAAGGCAGACAAGTCAGCGACAAATGGCGCGACGTTGGCAAGAGCAGCAGGGGTGCTTGAAGGAGAACAAGCACCAGCAAGAACACCAACCTCAGGGGCTGCAGGCCCCATGGGGGGAGCGCTCGACTGAGGCAGGTGACGGCCAAAATGGCCGAATGGATCCGAGGGGCGGTTCGGAGCAGAGCGAGGGGCGTGGTGGCGGAACGTACTCCTCCCTGCGGGGCCGCAACAGCATCGCTGGAGGAGCGCATTCCTACCCTCACGCCCTCGCTGCGCCCAAACACGCCTAGCAGCCGTAGCAGCGTCGGTGCAGACTGTCTGCGGCGGCGTACCCCGGCCACGCGAAGGCCCCCCCTCCAAGAAGGCGGGCGCCAAGGGCATCTTCAGTCCTTCTTGGGCACCGCCTTCGGGGCCTTGGGAGCACCCTGAGACTTGAAGGGGGGCTTTGAGACCTTGGGCTGCTTGGGCTGATGAGGTGGATGCTTGGGGAGCGCGACGGCGCGCTCGGCGTCGAGGCGCGCCCGAAATGCTTGCAGCTCCTTCATGTATTCGCCCTGCGCCGACAGCCAGCGAGGATCCACTAGGGGTGAAAACGGGGTCTGGGCCTCGCGCTCCGTGTGACGACTGGTCACGCGACACGGGGGAGGCTCCAGCCCCGTGAGGAACCAAGCGGCCTCGAGGTAGCCGCGGTCCCCCGCCAACTGGTCGATGAACATGCACTGGCAAGTCAGCAAGGTCTGGACCCTCTCGGGGTTGCCCTCCTCGCAGGCCCGCCACAGCTCGGCGCTGAGGAAGGCAAAATGCGTCAACAACTCGTGCGTCGACGGCTGAGCCCCGAGGGGGCTGTGCTCGCGAAAGTACTGATGCATGGCCATGGGGGTCACGGCGCTGACTTCCACGCCCAGAACGCGGGCCAAATTCTCCTTCATCAGTCCTCGCACGTCGGGGCCGTGCTGCATCAGCGCTTGCTGCCACTCGCGCCTCCGAGCGATTCCCCCCATCTGAGCCGATGCGTGCGCGGGGTCGCCCGAGGTCGCGGGCGGAGTTTGAGCTTGGTCGCTCAGGGTCCCCAGAAGCGGGTGGAAGGCTGGGCGATGGCCCCGCCCCTGCTGCAAGGAAAGGGACTGGTGCAGGCACTGAAGCATGAGGCTGAAGTCCGTCGGATTGGCCGCAAGGGGCGGCTCTAACCCGTCGGCGCCGCCCGCCTCGGCAAAGCCGTCGACCGCAGCGGGATGGGCTAGCCCAGGCGGCGGCGGGGGGCCCATCGGTCCGGAAGCGGACGAAGGGGCCCGAGGGACAGCAAGAGAGCGCGCCTTCTCCCACGCCGAGACCAGCGCGGAGGTGGGCCCCTTGGGGCGCGCGGAGACCCGATGTGGGGCCACGGGCGCGTGGGACAAGACGGCCTCGATCCCCGCAGGATCCAGCCCGAGGCGCGCCGCCTCGTCGCTGAAAAGCTGAGGCACCTCGGGCCGAGCGCTCCGGGCAGCCGGAGCGGGGCCCAGCGGTTCGGGTCCGCCGACCATCGTGGAGGCCGCGTGGGCTGCAAGCAAGGCGCGCATTTCGGCAGCTACCTCGGCGCGGGTCATGGGAGCCCCGTCGTCCAGAGACGCCGCAGGAGCACCAGGAGCAATCGGAGCAGGACCCGCGACCCGTGGCGGCGCGGCGGCGCCAGCGCGCTTGGCGGGCGGGCCGCGCGGCGCTCCAGCGACCGCGGGGGCTCGCGCACTTGGGGCCGCGCGGTCGGCTTCCCCGTCGGCCGCGAACCCCTCGGGCTCCTCCATCTCGTCGGCAGAGTGGTAGGGGGTAGCCCGATCGGCCCCTGGGAGAGGCTCTTCCCCTGCGGTAGGCGGGGCGCCGTGCAAACGAGCGTAGCCCTCGCGAAGCACCCGAACCCCCGAAGGATGCGGCCAATAGACGCGGCTGCGCACCTCGGCGAAGGGAACGATGCCTGCGTCGTCGCCGACCTCTAGAGGGTACAGCGACTCGAGCTCGAGCTCGGCAACCTCGATATCTATAACGAGGACGGATGCGGTAGTGGCGAGCGGCCGTGAAGCGGCCCCCTGGAGCTGGACGTCCACTAGCTGGAAGGGGCCTATCATCCCAGCAAAGCCATCCGCCTCGGCAGCCTCGAGCTCCGCTGTAGAGCGAAAGGCACCAGGCAGGGCCAGCAGGATGCCCCCTTCTCGAGAGGCGAGGGGGATAGCCGCCCAGCTGGTGTCGCCGTCGTCTAGGCGCCATCGTGCGTAGTCGCGCGCCGTGGGCGCAGCGAAAGGGTAGAGCTCGGGCCAAAGGGGCCCTCCGCCAACTGGTGGCAGCTCCGCCATCAGTGGGCGCCGCCGTGGACGCCGCCGCCCGCACGCTGGGCGTCTGCCCGCTCGAGCGCTTGAGGTCGAGGCGGAGCCCCGTAGGCCAGCGCTCGCGCCGCACGGCGGTCCTGCTCAGGTGAAGCAGAAACCGCGCCGCGCGGCCAGGCGGAGGGCCAGAGCCTCCGCCACACGTACGGGCCCAGCAGCCCGAGGCAGCAGCCCGCGCAGGCGCTGCAGGCGGCCGTCACCCAGAGGAGGGCGGCGACCGTGCTGAGCAGCCAGGGAGAGACCCCGCCGCTCAGGTCCACCGCCAGCCCGAGGCAGACGGTGGGGCAGGTGGAACCCGCCGAAGGGAGAGGGCAGGAGGCCCCCTCACCCTCGGACGAGTCCGCCTGCTGGATGGACCAGGCAGGCGATGGAGGCCCCTGGTCCTGAAGCACAGAGAGGGGGGCAGCCACGAGCCGCTCGTAGAGCGCGGCCCGCAGCCCCCTGAACAAAATCTCCCCAGCGCCCTGGAGAGCCGCTTGTGCGACCGCCTGCATAAGGCGCCCGCACGCGCGGCCGACGGGGGGCACTTGGGCAGAGAAGCTGCGGAGACAGCAGGAGCTTGCTCACAGAGAATAGAAGAGGCAGGAGGAGGAGGAGGAGGCGGAGGAGGAGGAGGAGGAGGAGGAGGAGGAGGAGGAGGAGGAGGAGGAGGAGGAGGAGGATGAGGATGCGGAGGATCAGGAGGACGGAGGCGGATGGAGGAGGAGGGATCCAGCGGTCGACACGCGGAGGCGAGCATCCCTCCAGCGCCCCAGGAGAAGCGGGCCGACGCCCTGCCCTAGCTCATCCGGGCGAGCGGACGAGGTCCGACGAAGCTGCCGCTCGCGCGTGCTTCTCTCTGCACAGTAGCTGAAGACCTCTCTAAGGCACAGTAGCTGGAGACCTCTCCAAGACGTTTATGGATACAGTCTGCTGCTGAAGTAATGAGCGTTACAAAAACGGCGGCGAGCGAGGGGGGGAAGTGAGAAGGAGAAGGCCCTCTCGGGAGACGGCGAAACCTTCTGAGAGGATTTCTGTGTCTTCGGGGAAGGCTCAGAACACTTTTTTTAGGGCCGGGGGACTTCCGAGCCTTCTGAGGAGGCTCGCCCCTTCTCACCTTCCGCGGGGCTCGCCGCCGAAATGAGGAACGAACCCCCTTTCCGGCACTTTGAGGAGCCTGGGTGCACGAGGAGGGCTAGAGGAAAAATCGTGGAATGACAGAAAACAGCGATCCCCTTCCGACGCAAAGCTGTCCTTATTTCAGCGGTCTTGGCTGTACGGGCGGAGGGGTGAGAGGGAGGGGATGGGGACAAGCTAGGTGCGCTCGCGTCATATCTGACGTCCTACCCCTCCCTCCCATCCCTTATCATGGCGCTGATTTTCTCTATCCGCGGACGCGTGTCGTAGCGGACCTGTGGCTCCGCGCGCGCGTGCGTAACTAGTGGGTGGTGGTGCGCGTGCGTGCGTGCGTGCGTGTGTGCGTGGTTGTGGTGGTGGTGGTGGTGGTGTGGTGCTGGTGCTGGTGTGGTGCTGGTGTGGTGCTGGTGTGGTGCTGGTGTGGTGGTGGTGTTGGTGGTGGTGGTGGTGGTGGTGGTGGTGGTGGTGGTGGTGGTGGTGGTGGTGGTGGTGGTGGTGCGGCGCGGTGGTGGCGGGCGGATGGGCGCGCGAGAAAGAGGCCCGCGCTGGGGCGAGAACGCCATCCTGAACGACGGAGGCCAAACACCGATCCGAAAATGAGGCCCACGCTGCAGCGGGAGCACGATTCGGAACGATTCGGGAGCAGAAATGAGGCCGGCGCCTCAGCGAGAGCAGCATTTTTGAAAAAAAACACAAGCGAAAACCCAACTCCGGGGAATCCTGTGTGTAAAAAAACAGTACGCGGGGGGGTGCCGAATATCTTCCGGACGCCATCAGGGGAAGTGGGAGAGTATTTTCATATTGTGTAATTGTGGAGGGGGAGTTTGGGAGTCGGGGCGGGGAAGGGCCCTGCCCGTGAGCGGGAGCGGCGCTGGGGCGGACCAGATCGGGCGGGTACTTGTCCTCTATGTTCGAGCCGCCCCTTACCCTCAGTCTCCGCAGTTGGGCCTGAGGGCCGGCAAGTAAGCAAGCGCGCGCCTCTGCACGTGGGTACACTGTCGTGCACTGAGCTTGCCCGCGAATGCGCGTGACGTTCATATCGGGGAGTACAGTGATGGCATTGGATAAGGAAACCTTCGATAAGGGATCTAGGTTCTGGAAGCCAATGGACAGCCCATCGTGGGCTGGCCATGGATATCACCGCCGCCCTCATCAGATAAGGAACCCTCCAGGGTCTGAAGCCTCCTGGGCACGTTCCTTAACGAACGCCCCCACCGTAACTGCGTGCAGGCGAGCCTGCCTTGGTCGAGCAGTTCACTAGCGAGACAGTCCCTGGCAATCTCGCAACGGCCTATACCAAGCGTGTTGCAGTCCAACCAACAACTCGGTCGCACACGGGGTCCGAGTCGGGAGAAAAGCCCCCTCCAGAAACTGATGCACCAACCCGTATTCATAATCCCACCAGCCCTTTAGGGCGTAGGTGGTCTAGGGTGTTTTGTCTTCCATCTGCCCCTCTTCCCCTTCGGGGAGGGGTTTATCAATGTTCCCTATCTACATACACCCCCTCCCTTACCTGGCTGGCGGTCAACCCGGAACCATGACGACCCCATGAGAGCCCCCTCCCACCATCCCTGTCAATCAACGATACGAAACGCACTCTACCTTCATAGTTGGAACATGCGCGGCCGCCCCGCGACCATGTTGTATCGGTATTTTACAAGGACGGCTGGGGTGCGAGCAGATCACACCTGCCTTCTGGGCGCAGGTGGTCGACCGACTGGTTTGACACATCAATGGCTGCTGCCTTTTTGCCTTACCGTTTCCGATGGGATGTCGAAACGTTCACATGGCTCCAACATTGGCCAAGAAAGCTCAAAGCCGGGCCCAAGAGGCTTCCAAACCAGCCCCAATACCGCCCCAAGTTGGCGCCAAGAGGCCCCCCCCCACCATACCCTTGAACACACAATACAAAACGCACTCTGCCTCCACATTTGGAGCATGCGCGGCCACCCCGGGAGCCGCGGAGCTTCCCTGTCGCAGTTGAACCTACATCCAGCGCGGCGGGAGTGTGAATGCCCTGGCGTGCACTTTGCATTGCGTTTCGGCGAGGATGGTTCGGTGCACGCAGGTTCGTTAGTGTATCAGGCGACGCGCCTTCTCGCACGTTTGCTTCTCATGCGTGGATGGGGGGGGAAGCGCGGTGGCCAGCAGCTACAAGCGTGCGCCGGGGCGTGCGCAATTGCTGGCGTAGCAGCAGTTGCGGCGCACGCAGGTGGAGCACCTACTGGTTCGCAGTGGCTGGCGCACCTGGCGCGGCTGGAGCACGTGGAACACTGGGCACACGTGCAACACGTGCCGCACCTGGCGCGCCTGGCACGCTTGGGTCTCCAGGGCCTGGTGCATCTGGAACCCGTGGCGTCTGTGGCGTTCTTGCGCGATATGCTGACTCCCGGATGGGACGTATGTGTTGGGAGGGCGGGTGGGAGTGAGCAAGACGGCTTGCGGGCGGGTTGGAAGCTTGACCCCTCCCCCTACCCTTCCCCTGGACCTGGACGGGGCCGGTCGCGAGGTGTCAGATCGTCCAACACGGCCTCGGCGAGGAAGCCAAACTCATTGGTTCTACCAAGGTTTAGGCCCCATCTTGGCCTCTTGGGGGTGCACTGCTAATTGAAGCTCCCCTCTTGTCTGATCGATCTCCTCCAATATGGCCCAAAGATGGCCCCCAAGGCTCCCAAGGGCGCTCCAAGAGAGCCCCAAGAGGTGCCCAGGAGGCCCCAAGAGGCCCCCAAGATGCCCCGAGGATGCCCCCAAGAGGCCCCCAAGAGACCCCCCAAAGGCTCCAAGAGGCCACTCAAAGGCCCCCAAGACGCCCCAAGAGGCCTCGGCGAGAATGCCAAAATCATTGATTTTTCTAAAAAGGTTTCGGCCACGGGGGAAGGGGGGGGGCACTGATTAAGATGGCTCCAAGAGCGCTTGGGGGAGCCCAAGATGACCTCCAAGATGGCTCAAACTATCCCAAGATGCCTCAAGATGGCCCCCAAGATGCCCCAAGACCGCTCCAAGACGGCTCCAAGCGGCCAAAGAGCTCCCCCAGGAGGACCCGAGGACAAATTCCTTCCAAAACCTTTGGGAAATCAATGTTTTTCGCTTTCTCGCCTTTTCGCTTCTGATGGCCATCCGAGGCCACTAGATGGCTCCAATATGGGCCAAGAGAAGCTCCAGAGAGCCCCAAGGCGGCCCCAATAACACCCAAGAGCGCTCCAAGAGAGCCCCAAAAGCGCCCCAAGAGGAGACTTTTGGGGCTCCCGAGGGGCAGCGCTAATTCATGCTCCCTTTTTGTTTGATCGATGTTCTCCAAGATGGCCCCAAGAGCGCCCCCAAGGTTCCCAAGAGCGCCTCAAGAGGGCCCCAATTGGTGCCCAGGGGGCCCCAAGAGGCGCCCAAGAAGTCTCCAAGTGGCTCCCAAAACACCCCCAAGAGACCCCCAAGAAACTCCCCGAGACGCTCCAAGAGTCCAAGAGGCCCCCCGGGGCCGCCAAGAGGCTCCCAAAACGCAAGAGAAGCCCAAGAGAGCCCCAAGACGGCCTCAAGAGCGCCCAAGAGTGTCGCAAGAGCGCTCCAAGAAAGACCCTTCATCTGCGTGCTGCCCACTTCCCCGATCGAGGCAAATCCACTGGGCTTTGTCTCTGGATGGGCTGGTGGGGTCACTTTTTGGTCTGCGGGCTCGCGAAGCAGGTCGAAAAACGTCCGAACACGAGTCGGGCCGCGACTGGGCAGCAAGAAAAGAGAGGCAAGCGAAGCGAGCGCGCGGGCAGTCACTCAGAAGAAGAGCCAGAAACGAAACTCCCAACCCGGTAGCGTGGAGATCCCGGTGGCGACCAGCAAGTAAGCGCAATAAAAATGGCGCGGCGGCGCGACCATAAACACGCAGAGGTCAACCGCTCGGTGTGAGTCGGCACAAGGCACCGTCAGAGACGAGCAGGACCGACAGGCACACCCGGACGACGTCTGTGTCGTAGGCGACACAAGTGCATCGTGTCAGCGCAAGAGTGAAGAGGGGCAACCTCGTCACATATAGGACTGCGAACGGCAACGCCTCTTGTTTGTACAGCAGTGGCAGATGCCGAAAGCGAAATCCTTGCAGGAGAAAGCAGCCGACGGGCGCACCGAACCACACATGCCAAAGTCCTAGCACCGTGGAGGTCGGCAGCGTGGGAGACCCCACTGAACCCTTTCGGTCACCAGTGGAGGCGCTGGTGGGGTTACTTTTTGGTCAGCGGCTCCGAGGCAACGGACAGGGAGCGGAAGCGGCGTCCGGGTCACGGTACGGGGCTCATTTGCAAGACAATTCGCCGCCAGCCAGAGTCGGCGGACAAAGCTCGCACCTGCACATGCACTGAACAGTATGAACAGAATTCGAAAGGCAGACGCACTTGAGCGCGGCAGCCCTAACCACAGTGGGCAGGCCGCTGGGCCCGGAGAAAGTGAGGATGCCCCGAAGTGAGTCGCCAAAGCGGCGCCAGACTTCTGCGGCCGACCTGCACAAGCCAAACGGCTGAGCGGCCAGGACCAGAAAACAGTGCGCTACAGCAGGGAAAACCAAAGGCTGTACAGGCGTTGTAGGCTGAACCACTCAGCGCCCAGGCCTCAGGGATCCGCATCACAGTGCCGGGGGGGGAGCCGAGCGACTGTGACCCAAAGCGCGACTGCACGGTGCCGCCTCATGAAGCGAGGAACTCCGCTGGCGTGGGGAGCATCGCCGTCGGATGGTCCTGGCCGGCGCGCGTGGTGGTGGTGTCATCTGCACTGCCTGCCTGGGGGGGTCCGCTGCCGTGAAGCTGAGGTGGTCCGCCAAACCCAGACTGCCGCATGGCGCTTGCCCTGGGCCCTAGCGCCAACACGCACCACGTGTCCCCCCTGGGCCGTGGTAGCCGTCGCTGGGGGTGCAGAGCAGGACCACGAGCCGCACGGACCACGGCGTGAACCGGGAGGGGGGGGTCTCAGCACCGACGCAAGTGCAGCGTCAGGCGAGCCCCGGAGCCACGGGCGGGGGACACCCACCGGGCCCAGGAGGGGAGAGGCGAGGGGACGTAACGCCTCACCCCACGGCCGGGCACCCTGCTGCCGTGGGCCAGGGGCCGTGGTCTTCCTCTTGGATCGTCCTGGGGGTCGCGGCTCATCGCCGCTAGCACTTGCAGTGAAGACTTGGGGGTCGCAGCTAATCGCCACTAGGATCTATTTTGCACATCGTGGGGGTCGCAGCTAATCGCCGCTGAGGTCTCTGTTGGATGTGTGCGAACGGGTGAAGGCCCACCGGGGCCGCAGCCAACGCAGAGGATGTGAGCCTGCAGCGAGGTGCGTCCCCGGAGGTGGGTCCCTGGGAGTCGCAGCTACTCGCCGCTGGAGCCGAAGCTGCCAAAACTGTGGCCTGAAATAACAGGCCGGTACGCTGGCGCGCAGGGGGGGTTGCTTCTGCCGACCTCCCCCTGACACCGAAGGGTGGGTGGCTGCCGCCGTTGGACAGCAAAGTGGGTGGTCCCAGGACCGGTCAGTCCAGCGGGCTGGTCCCCTGATGAGCAGGGGGGTGAAATGCCAGGGATGGGTCCACGTATCCAGTGTGGGCTGTCTAGCTATGCTGCGCCTTGGGTGAGATGTGGGGTGACCTCCGCCCCAGCGGATGTTGCCCCAAGGTATTACGGCCAAGGCCGGGCGCTGCGAGGTGAAACAGGCCCCGAAGGGGGGTAGTAGGTGGTGAGGGGGACGGAGCACGCTGGCCAGGAGGGCCAGGGGTGCGGTGACGGGTTGGCCTGGCTCTGTTAGCCCTGGGCGTAAGAGTCCTCCCTAGCCCACCATCGGGCGCGCTTGTCCGTGTACTGGTCATCCCCCCTGGGGGAGTACCGCTTACCATTTCCTTTCCAGTCCCTGGTGGGGTTACGCGAAGCGTCTATAACATGGAGCTGGCCGTGAAACTGAATAGAATGATGGTGATGATACCGTGCCAAGGGTTG